ACACTACGCCAGGCTCAGTAAGAGCTCAGCAGAATTCTCACAATGGCGATCGTGGCTGAACGCATCATTCATTACGGCACGTTTTCTTTCCCTCACAGATAGAGGAGAAACCCCATGAGGACGATAACATATCATAGTCATGGTCTGCTCGAGGCATCGTGGAGGTGGCGAATTGCATGTTTAAGCTTTCGAGACGTGCTATTAATGACCGAATGCATAGCCTGCCTAACGCCAATTCGTGGAGCACTGCATCAACTTGTCACGGTCCTGCTCACAAATGATTTTAGAGGACGAAGGGTGGTGCATAGGGAAGTGACGAGACTTAGAGCATAAATCAGTAGTATTGGATGGAGAAGTGGTGCAGATAGCTCTCCAGAAAGGAAACTATAGTTCAATGCACATGCATGTAGTATCACAGATACGAAGTACCAATAAAAACCGCTCAGATCCCTGATCTACATACAGCTACAGTATGTCTATCGTCTTGATGTCCATCACGTCTCGAAAAGAAGCCACATCTTTGACCTGTGCAAAAATATCATGATCCGACGCGACCCTCTTGTATTCTCCGCCCCTCTGCCGCACTAGTCAAAATGCCCTGAAAGGCTGCCCAAGGCGAACAAGCAACCGCAATGCTTGTGATTCTAGATCAACCACGTCCTGTTTTACAATAGAACGGCTAGGTGAGTCATCTGACGGAGAAGAAGGCGGCGTCCAATAATCCCCCTCGTTCTCCGTATCGTCCCCAACGTCGGGAAGATCTGCAAAGTCAGGTAGCTCAAGGAGAGACCGATCCCAGGGACGGACAAGTAAGAAGGTTTGCTGAGTGAGCCTTGTCCGCGAGAACTGAACAATCGGCTCTTTGGTTGTGATAGGCAGATCATGAAGCTCATCTGCCTTGACTTCATATCGAGTCTCCTGAGATGAACTGTAGTTCAGACTAACGTCTGTGACACGGAATACGATGCAAGGCAGATATAGTCTGCAGTTCGCGAAACGTGCAGCGCTCGTGTTATCAAGCCGATCGTAAAATTCCAATGCCAGATCTGTAGGCACAGTTTGCCGCAGCGAAGAGATAGTTGTCTGAATCTGATCTTCGGACAAAGACGGAAGGGTGCGTGGAGGAATGGTGTAAGAGGTAATATAGGCTGGAAGACAACTATTGAACTCGGAAGGCTGTCCGATCCAGTCCAGGATAGTGATATTGCCCGACTGAGCCACGATCTCCTGCAGGAGCCGCCCGAGCGCGTTCTGCTTCTTCTCGCCGTAGATAACAGGCAGGTAGACACCGAAGATACCAAATAACGAGTATGCGATGTCTTCTTGCAATGTAGTGACACGTGGCGATGCCCATTGAAGTCTCTGTCTGGCGTTACGCATCCCTGGACGGAAGGAGGTCAAGGCCTGTGCATCTATGCCCGTCGCATCCTCCAACTCCTTCATGATCCCAAGGGACTCTTTGTGGTTAGGAGAGCGATCGCCGAGATATAACGACCAATCCTTCTGATAAAAGATTACAACTTTCGAAGCGACGAATTCTTGAAAGGTCCACCCTCGCTTGTTCCAAACACTCCTCGCCAGTGCACCGGGTTCGGATGAAGGAGGGACATCGCATAGGTAGACGATGGTAAGCGCTGAGTGATGGTACCAGACGAACATGGAGTTGACCGATTCTTGAAGCTCGGTATTGCTCTTCTGGTCGATGCAGCATGTGTCCATCCATGCCCAGTGATACCCAGCATCACGAGCAATTTCGCAGAATGACTGCAGCTTCTTGATGCCACCAAGTCCATCCAACCCGTACACGACTTTGTTCTGGATGTCGGGCAGCAGCACCTCCTTCTCTTCCCACCTGTGTGATAGCAGGACGCAGCGGAAATACGTGGCCACTACGTCTTTGATGCGCTCCTTTCGGAGGTTCGAATCCTTCGTTGGAAATGAGATAAGCTCATTGTACTCTCGGCTCATTTTGAAGGCATCTATTTGTGCCGCTCTATCGCACAAAACACCTGTAGAGGTGTTAAACAGACGAAGGGGGGCATATTCGAATTCAGCCCAAACAGCACTTTGAATAGCATCTTCTGCTTCGGATGGATAGATATACTGCTGACGGAGATCTGCAGAATGAGATAGGCATTTCAAGACGATGCAGGAGTGTTCCATGGCTTACCTCGTATCTGCGCTTCGGAAGCATCGTCCATCTTGGACAGCATGAGTGTGAAAGCCTCAATGGCTTCGTCGTAACGTTGCGCGCCACCAAGCGCTGCATGCATCAACTGGTATCCAACGTGAGACGAAGGATTGAGTTCGGTGACCTATGCATCGCCAATGTCAACGTGGGCTACGAAAATTAGACGCAATCGCACCTTTTGCCGTCGAGGAGCGCATCCTTCCATAGCATTTTACCTAACTTTGCCCTACAACGATTTGCAAAGATGGCATCGGATGGAGAACTCAGGTCGATCGCCGCCGAGTAGAGGTCAATAGCCCTGTCGTACTCGCTCGCAGTGAGGGCGGCATCTCCGTTGACAACGCAGAGTGCGCTGCATTCTTGCTTGAAATCTAAGAGAAATGCAGGTGATAATTGCAGCTTGCATGACATTGCAGACTCTAGACTTGCCATTGGACCAGCCGAGGTAGTCGGCCATGTTGTTTTCGCCACTCGAAACCATCAGGTACCGGTATGATGTCGCGGCATCTTGAAGTTTACCTGCCCGAAGGAGTGCATCACACCGTTTCTGGTGTGCCTTTTGCCACAAAGACTTCAGGTCCCAACCAAAGAGCTGGTCAAGACTCTCAGTCATGAAAAGTATTGTATGTGCATCGTCTTAACGTACCACCACCAAATCCTCATATATTTCATGGATGTCTGATTTCGATGATAAATTGCTGGAGAGAGCGGCAGTGAAATGGTCAGCGGCTTCGTTATAATGTGCGCCATCCGAGGCTTTAATTCCGAGTCGAACACGTAGATATGTCTAATGTGCGAGTTGCAAAGGTTAGTGTTGATGACCCAGCGTGGCTGCATGATACTTACTTCCACGATACGACATGCACGAGTATCGGCATTCGGACAACCGGTAGCAAGTTCTTTAAGGAGCAGCATTGCCTCGTCATGTTGATCTGCATCGAAGAGGGCAATGGCCTGAAACATGGAATGGAGTAGAGACTGCGAGAGAAATGTAACCTACCTTGATCAAGAGCAGAAAATGAATGGTTTGTGAGTCTTGGTCCGTGTACATGGATGCTACATCAAATGCTGCCCTCGCGTCTCGGACGCGGCCTTGTCCGCAGAGGGCAATACCCTTGGAGATATAGCCTATCAATGAAGGTTGAATGCTGGTGGACTATGTCACCATTGAGTGAGTCTTTCGTAAGGGGACCATGATCAGTGGGTATATCTCACCTTGATTGCATCCTGAAGGGCGTGGTCCCAGTCATGTTTTCGCGCCATAACGAATGAGCGATGAGCGTAGGAAGTATGGTTGTTCACATTGGTGTTGATATCTTGCGTGAGTAGTTGTTCGGCGGTAGACAAATCTCCATTTATGCATGCAATGCGGGCTGTCGTGATGCCTAGGATCTGCACGAAACATGTTCAAATTGTGGTATATGGGTCAGGGAAGGAAACGCACCTTTGAATTGATGTCGCCGGGTATGGCCCACTCTGAAATCATCATATCGTCACCTCCACTGAAGATCCTCTTGCCATCCGCGGAGAAAGTGACCCATTCCGGCGGCAATAAGTGCTTGAAGATGGCAACAGTTCGTCGTTCTGAGAGCCGCCAAAGACGGACATAACCCTCACGAGATACCGATGCGACGAGTGTGCCAGCAGGATTAACGACAATGACATTAATATAGGTGGAGTGGCCCGTCCAAGGATCGCCGACCTGCTGCCAGGTTTTTGTATCCCATTCGCGTATGGTAGGATCATCCCCATCGCCGCCGCCTGTGAGAAGGCGTGAGCCATCGGGCGTCCATGCAAGTCCGAAGTTGCGCGATGTGTGACCCTTGAAAGATGCAACAAGTTCCCTCGTGCTTGAATTATAAATTTCGATCCTGGTTGTTGCGGCGGCAAGAAGCTTTCCAGACGGGCAATACCGTACGCAGCCGACGGCGCGAACCCCAGACGAATTGATTGGTCCTCCCTGCTGCCGCCAAGTTTTGGTGTTCCATAGTTTCGTCACGTTATGTGAATTAGTGGCCAGCACTGTTCCATCAGGAGAAAAATCCAGCGAGGTGACGCAATCGGAGTGAGCTTTGATGGGTTGGGAGAGCAATTCTCCAGTTTCTCCGTGCCAGATGATGACCATTCCTCCACTATCACCGCTTGCTATGAATCGCCCATCTCGTGATACTGTCAATCTGTGCACCCCATAGCGATGCCCCTCCATCTTCTTCAACACAACGCCTGTCTCCAAGTCCCACAGGCGAAGCGTCTTGTCATGCGAACCCGTAATCATCCGTCGTTTATCGGGGAAAACTGCGACGGATGATAAGCCGCGTTCATGACCTTTAAACTCTTGCAGGGGTGTAGTGATTAGAATGAGCTTCGGCATTTTACTGGAGGTTGATGGCGTTAGGCGCGGTCGAGGTGGACTTTGGAGGGATCGTGTGTCTCTTGCTCTAAGCTGTAGAGGTCCGTGACGCCTAGGAAGCGATGCTGTTCACCTTCACAGTTCCCATCGGCAAGAATGCAACCCATTGTCATACCCGCCGTCCTTCAAAGTGTACCCTGCAAGGCTACCGTGTCATTAGTTTGTACTACCATAGGATAGTTACAAGACACTCTCTAGATTCATTGACTCAAAGGTGTTATTCTGAGCAAGCCGAGGCATGAGGATAGCGCAGAATTTAGTCTACGCGTGAGAATAGTAAGGTGGCGCAACGCACCTTGTTCCGACCCACGTCGGAAGACAAGTGTACTGCATCAGTAGTCGTTTTCTCATTGTTTTCTCCATCTATTCCTATCGTTCTTTGCATAATAATCCTCTGTGATGCCTCCCCTAATGGGAAACCCCAATCATGCAATCGCCCCCAATTTTCAATTATTAGAGCATGCGGAAGCTCGAGCCCAACTCGTAAATGATGCAATCGACGATCAGCAAGCAGCAGCAATCCTAGCTAACCTATGGCGCATCCAAAACGAAGCTGACAAGCGTCAATGGGCAGCCAGGATTGAAGCCGAAGCTCGAGAAGCAGAAGCCCAGCGCAGAGAAGAAGCCGAAGAAGAAGCCCAATGCCAACAAACGCTAAGGGAAGAACAAGAGGCTGCAATTCAAGAGGAATGCAAGAAGAATAAAGCCAAGTATGCCCCAATCAAAGACACTAATGTTCCTTCCGACCCCATCATCCTCCCATGTCAATATGCTGCCTGGAAAATGAAATCAGGCAACTACTGCAAACTATTCTACTTCACAAACAGTGGTCTAGAAGAGGCCTCCCGCTCCGCCTTCACAGCTGATGAAGATGCTTTAGTGGTGCTACCCACTTCAGACAGTCTAAATAAATGGATCCCAGCCGCCGCTGCCAGGGATCCCAAAGCTCAAATCATCAAAGACGAGAACCTGACCTGGGAACAGTTTAATGAGGCAGCCCCGCGCATGGTATCTTTGATGAAAGAGAACAACTGGCCTGATGACAGAACCAACATGTTCATCTCCTTCTGGTCCGCGCTGCAAAACCACAGATGGTGCCACAACTTCAATATTCACAAACAGAGAGCATTGCTGTTGTACCAAGTGCAACAATGAAAGCGATGACACCTTGCCGCGGGTAGCTCCAATAGCTGGAGTTTAGCAAGGATCAATCAAGATCTGCTAAACGAAGCGCGCGAGACCATCTTCAACCAGTTCAGAACCCAACAGATGTCCTTTCAGGTACGTTCGCTTCCAACAACCGCGCAGAAACCTACTCACTAAACATCACTCCCTTTCCTTCTCTTAATCGCACTCTTCTCATTACCTACAACCCCCCTCCCCCCCTATGCGGTGTTTGGCATCATGTCCAAACTACTGCGCCACCCCCGCGGGCAACATGTTCTGCACCCTCTTTGATCATCGGACAACACGTTCTGCACCCCCACAATCTTTGGACAACATGTTCCATCATCCACCACCTATGCGGTCGGACAACGCATTCCCTACCACCGCCATCTTTCCAAACACCCCGGCCATCATGCGCCTCGCTCCATCGGGTTAACCCCCCCCTTTTCTTTTCCTGGCCATCGCGTGCCTACAACCCCCCACTGGCTATCGCATGCCATTTTTTCCCGCCCTCTGCGCACCGGAATCTCCTTTCCCTCCACCGTTTATCCCTGCCTCTAGTCCCGTTTGTTGACGACAACAGGACCAAGCAGAACCCAACAACAGCATGCTTGCTCCGCTAGCGGCTAAAAATGCTCCCCTCCTACTTCACCAGAAGGAAGGTTCAACAAGAAACCTAGAATGTACAGAGATCCTAACGTGCCCCTCCCATGCTGCGCCATATGTCTCGGACGCAACCCTCACCGCACCATTGAGTGCGCTGCTAAGCTCACCTGGGATGGTAAGCACAACACCATTGCCGAACGAGTCCACAAAGCACTCTGGACCAAGGAAGGGAAACAATTATGTACCGCCTGGCAACGAGAGGAAGGCTGCGATAGTACTAGACACGACTCCCGCCACATATGCTCTGGCTGTGGTGCCATTACTCACGGAGCCCAACACTGCCCTAGGGCACAGAAAGTCTAACCCTATCACACCTTACAAGGCTGAAGCCTGGAACAGAGAACTACATTGCTTCAACCTCCTACCGCATTTTGCGAAAGTTCCACCTCAGGCATTACTTTTTGGAACCAATAACGGTCTTTGAGACCCGGTTCCTATGTTGTGGGAAAGTAGTCTGTGAGACCCACCCTCCCGCCTTCTAATAATAACACACCCTCCTAGGATGTACCTGCGCCTCCAGAAACCCCTCGTGCACCTCCAGAAAAACCCTCGTGCACCTCCAGAAAACCTCTCGTGCACCTCCAGAAAACCTCTCGTGCACCTCCAGTAATCTCTTATGCACTGAGCTTGGGAGCCTTGCTCCTCCCCGATTCACGCTGTAAGTTCTTCTCTTCTTTCCCTCACCATGTCTTCCTTGACGCCACGTCGCACTCGCAAAGCTCAACTCGCATCTTCTGGCCTAGGATCTCACTTTGTAAGCCCAAGGAAGGCTCGAGACAAACGGAAAACTCAAACATATGTTGAGCTTCCTGGCGCAGAGACTAAGCGCCGCCGACTTTTGGACGCAATGGAACGACTTTTGAAGCCGCAACACGAGGAATCACACCCACAGTTGTTGGCACAAGCACCACCATCTGATACTGTGACTACGGAACACATGGATACTGACAATCTTGTTGTCAGCGAATTTCACTCTGATGAACAGCCATCTCTTGAGATCTCAGTATCGCCTGTCAAACGGCGGATTGTGCCCGACAAATCCACCAATTCACTCTACAAAAACTGGATTGCACTCATACCAACCCTTGTTGATCCAGTACTCCAGTACTTCAGACTGAACTGCAGGGCAAAGCACTGGAAAATATACATCCAGTCATATCTGCATGTGGGAAGCCTTCGTGTACACCGAAACGGACGACAATGATGTGTTTATTCTTCGACCGTGAGCCCATGTCTTGCAGTAATCAAAATTTTGCTGACATCTACATAGGGTTCACATCTATAGATGTACTAAGTTGTACCTGCTCCACTCTCCAGCAAGTCCTCGTTCACCATGGTCTATTTCCGACCGTGCCTTCACAGCCTCGAATGGCTGTATCTGTTGACCTGCTCTCATTCTACCGCGCATTGTTTGAGCGCTCATGTGACGCGATTAATGCTCTCGCATCAGCGCTCAAAAATCACTACTCCCGGCGGGGTTACCAGATGACTGACGCCCAGGTAACAATCACTTACATAACTAGGTCACTACTGATTCATCCCAGGGCGAAGTTATACAGGACCCATTCCGACGAGGCCTCGGCTATGCCGTGCAATGGTACGACATCCTGCAAGTTGAAGTTGAGCGCCAAGTTGAGACGGTCGTTCAACAACACCGTGATCGTATAGCAGAGTTTCAAGCATCCTCTTGAGTCTCGAATTCACCTTTGCCCACTCAATGCGCACCCCTTCTAGTGCAACGGTGTCCTGCTTGCTTTGCAGGTATTCTTCATGGTAGATCTACAGATGAGGGAGGTGACATTCATGTCGCAATGGACGGTAATTTCCATCACCGTCATCGACGTGCTGCTGGAGACTGTCCAAAGTTCTATGACCCTACTTATTTTCTCCCGAAAACCTTTGTTGACACGATTGGGCGCCATATTGACACTCAACGTAAGCGACCAGTGAGGTCTCACGTTCCCCTTGTCCCTGATGAAGCCGTTGACCAATGCGAGAATGCTTACGAGGCTGCTGACGGCAAAAAACAGAAAGCGGCAATGGATAGCTTCAACGACACTGGAATCATGGCCCTTATCTGTCGTCACGACATCCCTTTATTTTTTGCCAACATAGACTCACCTGGAGAACAGCAAAAGTATTCGGTAGCCTTACTTCAGCACTTCTTTTCACTTCTCCCCCCCGAAGCTACTGTCGTAGCTCTTTATGATGTCGGCTGTGTTTTGGCACGAACACTCTCCAAGGTACGTTATGATCCTGGACTGAAACAATTGCTTACACCATTTACAGCATGAAATTCTTCCCAAAAGCATCACCTCACGCCTTCGATTTGCAACCACTGCCATGCACGCATATGGGCACGAGTGGGCTTGCCAGCTCGTATATAACCCACGAATATGTGTGGGTCTTGGCTTATCTGATGGTGAAGGGACCGAACGCCTCTGGTCTCGCTTAGTTCGATTGATAGGTGTTGAGCGCACTTCTAGTGTATGTACTCTATTATTTTCATTTAAAACTAATGAATTTAAAACACTGCTTAGCGCCAACGCCGTTTATGGTTGATTGATCGGCAAGCAGTGGCTATAGCTTCGGAGATGCGAACTGATCTAGGCGACTGGATCAAACGACGCCTCAGACGGGGCATCAAGGGGCAAGGTTCAGCAGCCCAAGACGCACTAGATCAATGTGAGGTCTCCATTGAAGAATTGCAAGCCGAGTGGTCGCAGCAAAGGCAATCTCAGTTATCTATCCGTGCTCGTAAGTTTTATACATTTTTAAATGACGTGGCTATTGCTCAATGATATCACAAGATGCACCCGCCCGCCTCAAGAAGGAGTTGGACACAGTCTTAGCTCTCCAGGCAGATCTGGACGCCTCAGACAAAGCATTGCAAACCACCAGGACGATGTTGGAGAAAGATATGGCTTCAGATGATACACTAGAGGCTCTCGAAAGTCTAGAGAGGGGACACGATCGCCTGATGAACAAGGTCGAGGCTCTTTACTCCTCATTGAACGTTCATGACAGATTTCCTGAGCTTCATGGCATCAATCTCGAATTTGTTCGCATCCTTCTCATGGCACGCGATCTCAAAATGAACGTTCGTAAACGTGCGATTGCGAGTTTCTTCGAGTGGGATAAATTAGATCGAGCAGTCGGTGGCGCTCAGCAAGCGTTAGGTAAGTTCATGCCGATTCATTTGTGAATGATTTATTAGATTCTTTTAGGCACCAAGCTGCATCAACAGACACGTAAAGCAATTTCCAAGCGTCAGCCCGCACTAATGACCGCTATCAGGAAATTTAACTCCTACTGTGAGCGGCTTGATTCATTGTATGATACATCCTGGGGGATTCCACTGCCCGCACCCCTTCCCACCAAACTTGCAGAACTACGTTCTGACCCAGGACTGATGGAGGATGTGTGGATTACACCGTCTCATGGAGAGGTTCCGCGGTGGTTAGACGACACATCTACAAGAGATGGCATTCGTGCACTTCTCAAGCGTGATCGGTGTCGAGAGGAGCAGGTTCGGCTAGGTGTTGAGGCCGATAACCTGTGCCGCTTCTTCGGAAATGAGTTGGGGGCACTTGAACTTGCCCTTCGGTCGCCAAACAGTGAGCTAACCTTTCTTATTAACTTCCATATCTCATATACCCTTAGGTGAACCATTCGCAGTTCTATTGCAACAACGGCATGCCAATTTTATCTGCCTTCAAACACGATGGTCAAATTGCTTGGCTTCTTCGGTACGCTTTACTAATGAAGTCAGCAAGGCAGTAGCCATTGCGACCACCCTCTCGGGAGGCTCACCAAACATGGCACTTCATTGGATTAATGCCAGCATGCTGGTAGTGTCTGATTCTGAAGGTTGTGATGAACTCCCTATCGTCGATCCTGACCATTGCCCCCAAGTCGACTCTGAACAAGCAGCTCTGGCCGATGTCCTGGAGGGTGAGATGGGGGCAATTGAGTTAGATGACGATGACTCAACAAATTACGGGCGCGATGCTAATGCTGTGATTTGCTGGAACCTTCCTGAGGTACGGTTATTTTTATTGTTAGGAGTTGACGATGACGTGTCATAGAATCTCCTTGTGGATGACTTCTGCTGTCCCATCGCAAGAGCCAGGTGTCCTCGACCCTGCTAAAATTTTCGCGCGAATACGACCTTCGCATGACGGAATCCCTCGTCTAGAGTTTGATCCAAAAGAAATCGGTATACTCAGTTCTCCTACTGCATGCCTCAATGATACATGCATTAACAACTGCGCCATTCTCCTGTGGTGCTCTCAACTGAACACCTCCGCTGCACGGTGTGCGATACTCTCCACTCACGATCTTCCCCGCATTCGTTACAATGCCCCAGACGACAACATCTGGCGCCATACAATGTGGATTCGTTATTGGGAAAAAGACATATGGGTTCTTCCGATTCATCGTCCATCAGGGATTGGACACTGGGTGATGTGCGTCATCCAGTTGTCGACCAAAGAACTTTACCTGTTTGACAGCATGGGCGACAGGACCCCTTGGCAAAGTGACGTCAAAGTGAGATTAATTTTTTAAGAGTTCTTTTGTCTGACCTGACTGATTGACACATGATATGAAAGGATATAATGAGACTGATTGCTCGGTTCCTTGCAGTTGCGCGTCAACACGGCCATCATGTTCATATTGATCTTGCAGGGTGGGTGGCTCGACCACTGAATGTGAGTTTCATGCTTTGCTTTCTTGACTAGTCTGACATCGTGTATTATTTAGACCAAACGTCTTCAGAATAACGACTTCGATTGTGGCGTGTGGGTATTGGCTGCAATATTCGCTGTTATACGTGGCAGCCGTGTTACAGGCCTACATGAGCAGGACATGGGCAATCTGCGATGCTATGTGCGGAGTATGGTGCTTGCATTACCAGCTCTCTCGAGTTACAGTAATACAAGGTCTACGTATAAGGATTCTTCCCAGTAATTAGCATATTGTCCTCCCTCTGATAATTCAATATCCTTCGTGCTACCCATTGGCGATAGCATTCGGCCATGACCTTGTGTCTTGTGCATGCCTGCAAGCTGCTAACACGAGCATTGAGCTCATCCCAACCTGTAAGTAACCGCTGATGTGCTTCTCGGATCTCTTTCAGAAGCTCAGCGATTTCACCCATGTTATATATGGCTGCGTGACGAGCATGTGATTCCCTTTCTGCGCGCAAGTGCCGGCCATGCATCACGTCGCAGAGGTTGTGCGTGAAACGGTCTTCCTCTGGTGAATCAGGTGGAGCTGGAAGGTCGTAAGGAGGGGCTTTGTTCCACTGCAAGAGATCGGATTGATCAATCAAGTCAGATCCAGTGAGAGATTGGTGAAACAGATAGGAATCGGGAAGGGAGAGGGTTGAATATTGGATTAGGGAAGACGCCTGAAGAGCATGCAGATCCCCAGATCTGATACGAGGCCCACGTCGACCATGATGCTTGGCATAGGCACGAGCGTTTTGAGCTTGTCGAACGAGTTTACCTCTGTAAAACATATGATTAACAAGAATAAATGATTGCAAAATACTTACCGTTCTGACCGAGCATACAATGTCTTGTGTTGCCGTGCAGCTGCTGATTTCTCTTCAAATGTGAAGTACTTAGCTTTGCGACCCATACTAGAGACCGGGCAATGTGAATGGTCAAAAGTGTGTTAAGACCATAGTTGGTCTTAAGTTCATATTGCGATACTGTCCTCTTACCCGTCAAAATGCAATACAGCCATGAAACATGATGTTCTTGCCTTGATTTTGTATTAGCATGATGGGGCGCACCATGGCAGTCGATGATGCTACTGTTGAGACAGTTGGCTGGCAGTCAATCCCTCTACATTTGTGTTTTCAATTCAGTGCGATATGTATTTTCAATCTCATTGGCTCACCAATGTCATGTCCACCCCACAGGAGGCTCGGACAAGCCTCCCACTAGTAGCCTCCATGGAGCCTCCCACTACTAGTAGTAGCCTCCATGGAGCCTCATGGGGCTGAGCGCTGACTTCAGCTTACATAATAACCCTCCAGCCTGCTTTTCGGCGCTAGTACCCTTGAACTTCGAAGCTACTGTATTATTCCGAAAATTTCCATGGCTTCTTCTTATCGATTAACAGTCTCAACTATCGTACCTTGTCTGTATCCTGCTGCAGAATGACTGCAATCATATCTCAATCCTCACACTTTGTTGATGTTGGCACTGCGAACAGACATGCACTTCTGTACCATCAGTCACCTCGTAAGTCCTTAGTCAGTTTAATATTCAGATGCTGCTGATTACTGATTGCTTCTAGCTTGAGCTTGTGGACAAGGCTGTGTCGACAGAGGAGGACCCAGGAGTTAGTAGTCTCCAAGTTGACGCTGGGTGGAAGAGCCTCGATGGCATTCCTTGTATCATGGGTGGCATAACGGCCCTTGTTGGTAAGGCATATTGCCTTCCATTTTTAATACCAATCCTGACTTTATTTCAGCATCTGTTGGTGGCACCTTGCGTGGGCGTACCTCGAACGACTTCCCTTGGAAAACTCTACCCAAGGAGCTAGCTCGGCTCGGATGTCGCCTCGTCAACTACCCTGATGATACTTTGATGCCCGGCGAGATTCGACCTACACTCATTCGGAGCAAAGGCATACATGATCTGACCCTTCCTCATTGGGTTAATCTTGTCAATGCACTCAAGATGGGCACCCTCACTATACAAGCCATGACAAATGATACTGCTCGCAAACGCCTTACAATGTCCTGGGACCCAGTCATTATCGCAGAGGCGCCCTCATATCGATCAAACCACTCCCGCGCGCGACGTGTGTTTGCTAATGGTGACATTGACTTCAGGGGGCCTCGCCGTCTTGCCTCTCCCCCTTCTACACCTTCCACTCGTCCCTCTACACCTTCCAATTGTCCCTCTACACCTCCTAGTCGTCTTTCTACATCTGCTGCTCGTCCTCCAGCACGTGCTGCGCGTCCTCACACACCTGCTGTGCGTCCTCATGCACCTGCTGCTCGTCCTGCTATACACCCTACTCGTCGTACTCAGGTTTTTGTAGAGATATCACGCCCACCACCCCGGCCAGCTTCTAGGGCAATACCATCATCCACTGCTCGCACCATATCACGCCCGCTACTCCGGTCAGCTTCCAGAGCAGTTTCTAATCACACCAACCTTATCCCGCCCATCACTTCTGTCGAGCAGTCTGCATCGACTTCTGAATATGATGATGAGTTACATGTTAGTGAGAGCGAACATCGGCCTGCCAAGCGTAACAGATACGGTATGACTGAATCTTAATGATTTCAAATAACGTAGATGACATGTTTATACAAGCAATCTTTTCGGAATTGTACTTTTTTTTCTGAACACGCAGGATACTCGGGTCGTGATCGACCGTTGGCGGTATTCACTTCTTTTGAGCCTCTTGAGCCTCTTGAGCCTCCCTTGAGCCTCCCTCACGATCTTCCGGTAAGCCTCCTGCTTTCACTTCTTCATATACACACAGAATTACACTTTGGTTGCCAGCTCAAGCATTTCATTTCAACGTGAGTCATTTAGCATTATGTACAGCGTTATCCTCATTCCTTTCATTCTGAACCCTCTTATTAGCCTCTCGAGCATCCCGAGAGCCTCGCTCGCACCCTCTTGGTTACCTTGCCAGATGGGCCTATTCAAATATCTTGTATGTTTGTTTAATTCCGTGCTAGCATACCATTCTAACTTGTTTAGTCTGCATCAGCTCAAATCAGCCTCATAAATATGAAGGCGCTGTAGGTTTTTTTCTGCCCCTTCTGATTTCCCATCTGATATACTCTTGCGCAAACCGCCCAATAGACGGTCTGCAAAAATTGGCATCTACTGCACATAGTACGAGTAAGTACGCGTGCTGTCATATATTTCTTCCAATATTGACCACACTGTAGACATGATGCAAAACATCCCCGATAACCCATCATCTCCTCACCCGAGTTACATGGGTCTTCCTGATACCTTCGATTACATGCAAGAGCAGTTTGGTGGTGGCCGTCGTAACCCATCACCACCCGTTGAGCTGACTCCTTCGCGACTCAGGAGTAAGCTCAAGGCTACAGAGCGGGATGCCGGCCTTGTCAAAGGTGCATCTACCCGCCGCCAGGCTTATCAACGCCTCGCTGTGGAAGGGCAAGATCCTGCACCTAACTTACCTCATGCGGTGCCGGCTGCTATCTCGACAAGCGAAACATCATCGTCAATGCTCCATGTGGGTAGTAGTCGCCATGCCTCACCCTTTCCTGCCCCACACGCTCCTGAACAGCTCCAGGATGTGTTTTTTGGTTCCATGAACCAGCCACACGCCTGGATGGATCCCAACTCTTCGGATACCTTTAGCATGATGGGGTCCGAATCTTATTTATCTGGAGGATCGCAAAATCACTTCGTCCCCCAGGATATGGACCGCCTAGCACCTCCGCCAAGTTACACTTTTCCTGCGAGTTCATCGGGTTTGACCTCTCGTGGATGCTCGCTAGATCCTCATGCTACAGGCCAAACCCATTCTGGATTGACTGAGGATCTTGCTGGCAAAGTCTCACCATTCGTCCTTCAGCCAGTTCCGTCATCATCGTCTCATGATCACCTGCCTGCCCTCCCAACCACCAATGTCATTCCACCGACGCCTTTCAAGGATGGTGATAGCACCACCTCAACAAATACTATCAGTACTTTGCTGAGCGGTTCCAATTCCCAGATGGACTTAGGAGGCCATCCTTCTACCTCTCGTGCACGCTTTCCCGAGGAACACGAGCCAGTGACCCATGATGAAGGACTTACGGTCACTGGACGCAGGTCTGCAGAGGTGAATGCAGCACTTGATGTCGGGTTTGCTGCAGTAGAGCGCTGCTTTCTTGAGCTCGCTACATCCACCACGCTCCCTACTTCCCAATTGATCAACCTATTCTTGAAGAGTCGTGGACGCACCGTGAATGGCACTAACTATTGGAACCTATACGCCAACTACTTCAAAGAGCATATGCAGATAGAACTCGCGTGCATTGGCAAAGAAGCCCAGGCTGGAGGTGGCACGCCAAGTAAGTATTATTTTATATCTTGTTGCGCAGGACGTTTATAACCCTTATAGGTGCAACTGTGCGCACGCAATGTTACGACAAATTCAAAGAGGCCTATCCTGACTCTTACCAAGATATCCTGCTCATGCATGAGGAGGCATCACTCCTCGGATCATCGCCTCAAACAATAGCTCAGCGTGGACATGGATTCCAGAAACACTATCGAAGGGTGATACAGATTGTACGTTTTCTTTCCCGAAGTTCCATCATCCCCTCATGTTGTAATCACAGCTCGAGTCTGCCGCTATGAAGTCAGGCTTTGAAGCAGCGATCGTGCTCTGTGGGAAAGTAGTCAATGAAGATGGTTCACTTGGCCACTCGTATAACACGCCAGGTGCTGCAGGGGTAAGTCTCTTTGTACTCTACATCCTGACGTATACTTAAAGAGACAGTTCTGGGAGACACGATGTCGCACAAGCGATGATGCCATCATCGGGCATCTCAAGGCTCACGTGTAGTGAGTGTACACTTAAATTTTGTTTATGCTATGACTTATGCCCGCACAGTAATACTACATCTTTAGCTGCGGTGGATGAAGCATTCAATGATGGCACCCGCAACGACCCTTCAACTCCAAATTCAACCCTGAACCATGATCGTAATCAGTCTCAGGCTCCTGAGGGACGGGATGATGGCTTGAAATGGATCAAGCTCGAACTTATCAGACAAGTTGGTATGTTAGAACGTCGACACTCCTTTTATTCATTTGACCTAAACTACAAATAGCCCAACTTGGAGGCAAGTGCGCCTGGGATAAAAATTTCCCTTGGAAGGGCATGTCAAGCGCCCTTGCTGATGCCAATCTCTGTATTAGAGGCTATCCGGCTCATAAGTGTCTCTTGCCTGGCGAAGCTCACAATGAAAACTCGAAGAACAAGGGCATCGGCGCGCTGACTCAGAAGGAAATTGTAACGCTGATAGATGCGTTGAAGGGAGGAACCATGCAAGTCTTCAAAGTTGACAAGGCACACCGAGGTGAGTTTTGTTTACCTTTTAATATGCACTTTTGGGTTTTAACCTCACGTGTAGCAGCTGTGATGGCCTCCGAGAGGCCAGTCATTACAGGCATCGCACCGCCACCCGAGTGGCCTCATGAGGGTGCTCGACGACTATTTGCTAATGGTGATACCGACTACCATGGCCCAGTTCGTCTCCAGCCCAGCAGTGCAGCTACAAAGGTTAAGAAAGAAAAAGCGCCTCAGGCCCCTCTCCCACCCTCCGATAATGACGACTCCGACTCCGACTCCGACTCCGACTCGGGTGATGATCGCCCAGCAGTACCTGCTGCTCCCAAGCTCCGAAAACCTACCATGCGAGTAGAACTACCACCGCCCCTGCCCTCGCGCCCATTCAAGGTTGTGGCAGCACCACGCTCACGCCCAGTCAAAATCATTCAAAAGCCGGAACCAACTGCAGCAGCGAGCGAGGTTATCTCAATTACTTCGACCGAGGATGTCGAAGAGCCTGATACCGAGTATGACGAAGCACGCGGGAAGAAGAGGAAACTGAAGGCTAAGGCTACGAACACGTCTCGTGCGTCAAAGAGGCAAGCATCATCCGAGGAGAAGACTGATACTTCAAAAGTAGGGAAGAAAGGGTCACAGGCTCAGATGAAACCACCCAAAGCACTTCCCTTACCATCAACCTCTCCGACGAAGGGTGGCCCATTGTCCCCATTGACAGTGGGATCATCGAGTGTGGCGGGATCACCAGAGCCTGAAAGTGAGCACACTTTTTTCTCACTTGACTTCGTTTGACTCAAGGCTGATAGCTGTGGTTCCAGCGCGACCTAAAGATGAACCATATATTGAGCGAACTAAGGGTAAGCGATTTCACATTTTCTTGCTACATAACTAATGTCCATCTATCCTCCAGTCAAACCACGCCGAATCACCAAGGACTCCAAAGGTAAAATGAAGCGTGCTCACCGCATGGCATACAGCCAGTCAGACGAATCTGAGGTCGACAAGGGCAAGAAGGTTGCTGAGAGTGTCATCTCCCCTACTTCGGTCAATGTCACGGCAGAATCTTTACAGGAAGGCTTGGCCGAGGTAACACACGATGCTAAGCCAGCGGACAAGCAGCAGGAACTCCCTCGCATCGCCAAACCCATTGAGGGTCTTCACGATGCAGTTCGTGACTCTCGTAACCCCCACGACCCTCCACATGACCTACACCAAGCTCATCACAAGCTCCCTGTACGTCATCATCTTCGTGAGGATAACCCTCCTCACCACCAACAGGAACGTCATCAGGAGGTCATCTCTGACCCTCGCGACGACCTTCACGAGGGGGGTCCTCTTCGCAATCCCCGCGAGCCTCGTCATGAGGTCCTCTATGATGTTCGAGATACTGCCCATCACAACCCACGTGATACCCTCCGTGACACTCAGTCAACCTCTTCGTGCCCATTCTCGTGAGCCATGGTACATGCATGATGCCATGCGACGTCGTGAAGAGACTCCTACGATCGAGCGTGATGCTCACCTCTCTCGTGATGTCTTGTACCACCGTGACTCTCACAATCACCGCTACACTAGTCTGCAACCTCGCAACTATTATGGACCTACTGATCCTCGCATTGACAGCGAGTTCACCACACGGGATGGTTCCCCAGCCTTGGAGTCACACTGCGACACCCTTTATGCTCATGGTGAGCGTGAACATTCATACCCAAGCCAATACAGCCCAGTGCCTGGTCCGGACTATGCTCGACGCAATGACCTTGACGAGCGTCGGGGATTTGGTGGAGGACCATACCGTGACAGTGGGTACCCTCAAGGCAGGGCTCGTAACCAGGATTCCAGATGGATGGACAACGTCCACAGCGTTGCATCTTCATCTTCGGACTATGCTGTGCCACGAGCATTTAGTCATGATCACACTCTCCCTCCACCTCCTCCTTCATCATAATCGGCTTTTGATGCACCCGTGCTTTTGTCATTGGTTGGGTTGCTCTTTGGTTCTTCTTCTTGTGCTTACTTCGTCTGTTTATGCTGATAACTTGCTATGGTGGTTTGCTCATTCCTACACTCGTCCCGCTTTCGTACCCTATTTATGTAGCTACACATGCGGTCGTTACATTTTTCCTTGTCTTGATAATATCAGTATAGCGGCTCCAATGCCTGCTTTGGTTTGCTTCAGAACTTGTTCGAAATTGCTGCGAAACTGGAGCGTGATATGTTTTATTGGAAAGTGACATTTACAACATAAATACAACGACAAAAGCAAAAAAAACATATGAGAAGTAGCAGGTGGGGAAAAACATAAATGTGAGTGACGAAGATATGAAATAAAACATAAGGGAAAACATAAGTAGAGGAGCACAAGAGGCTCCAAGTTATGTTGACGAGTGGCGAGAGACCCCTGCCGACATAAATATGAAGATATAACATAAGGGAAAACATATGTGGAGGTCCGAGGAGCACACCTGAGAGGCTCCAAGTTATGTTGACGAGGGGCGAGAGACCCATGCTGACGTAGTGGAGGCTGTTAGGCACCTTCTGCAATAATCAGAGCTAACCAGTTAACCCTCCAATGAGGCCCATGAGGGTACACTGGTTACTCTTAAGGAATTGAGGGAGACCCTCCGGGGAGAGGGATGTCTCAGAGACATGTTGTGCCATACACGAAAACTGGGTCTGACAGACCGTGGGAAGCACTAAAAAGTGCTGCCAAGGGTGGAAAGTTCCAGAAGGTTTCCATTATGGTTTCAATTTAAATTTTCCCGCTATTTCATCTACACAGATCCCTCCTAATAAGCAATCTGTATACACGTACAAAGACCAATTTGATACCAGCATACTAAAACAACTACAGAAATCCCGCTATCTAGGCCCCTTCACCGCTAATACACTTTTAAGTCTCATCGGTCCTTTCCAATCTTCCCCCCTTTCCATTATCCCCAAACCTGGCAAGCCGGGTAAATTCAGATTAATACAAAACTTCTCGTTTCCACACTCCTTTGACCCGCAGTTTCCCAACCCCTCTATCAATTCTTACATCAATGCTACTGATTTCCCTACCACCTGGGGTAAATTCTCAGTTATTTACCTACTCATTTCGAGACTCCCCCCAGGTTCGGAAGCCACAACCCGTGATGTTGCAGAAGCTTACCGAACCATACCCCTACACCCATCCCAATGGCCTGCTGCCGTAGTACGAGTTTTGGCTACCAAATTCTGTGTGGACGCTTGCACGGCCTTCGGAGCCACACCATCAGCAGGCACCTATGGCCATGTAGCTGATGCTGGTGCCAAGATCCTCCGACACCGGGGCATCGGACCCCTAGACAAATGGGTCAACGACCACATTTTCTTTCGGATCCGAAAAGAATTTGTAAGCGATTACAATAGAGAACGAGCCGAACGACACAAAGATCTAGCCAAGAGAGGCATGCATCAAACTGGAAGCAGAATATGGTTTGGTGGTCACATTTTCGACGACGGTTCAATAGAGGAACTCAGTGAAAATTGCTCTCAACCCATCAGAGACCTCTCCAGCATCTTGCCAATGTCAGAACACGATCAGCTTTTCAGCTACAGCCTACAAGACATAGACGATGTCTCTACCAACCTGGGAATTTTTTGGCAACCCGAGAAGGACCAACCTTTTGCCACATGCACTATCTACATTGGCTTCCTATGGGACCTTCACCTCCACGTAGTATCGCTTAGCAAACCCAAAGTCGAAAAATATCTCATGACCATTCACACATGGAGAAAAAAGCCCACCCATACGCTACAGGAAGCGCTAGAGCTCTATGGCAAGCTAATGCATGCATGCGCAGTGGTCAAAAGGGGTAGAGCTTACCTAACTAGTCTCGAACGCACAATCGCCATATGCCATGAGAAACCCCACATGCCCTACTGACCAGATAAAGAAGTCGAACCAGACCTCAACTGGTGGACAGACCTCTTACAATCAGGCAGCATCTCACGCCCAATCTACCCACCCATACCTTTCTCAGTTCCTGCAGCCTTTTCAGATGCCAGTTCAGGCATCGGAATAGGCATTGTCATTGGAAACTATTGGTGAGCCTGGAGGCTTATACCAGGCTGGCAGACAGCCAACAATGCAAAGAGAGACATTGGATGGGCCGAAGCAATCGGCTTCGAACTACTGGTCCGCACCCTCGCCTCTATCCCTGGCATTAATGACAACATCATCGTCTACGGCAATAACACAGGAGTGGTTGAAGGATGGTGGAAAGGATGTCACCACAACAAAGCCGTCAACGACATTTTCAAACACATCCATGAATTCATTCTCTCTCTACCCAGACGTTTCGAAATCCGTACGGAATACGTCCCCAGCGAGTCAAACCCAGCCGACCATCCCTCCAGAGGACAATATGGGCCTGAACACCTTCTACTCCCTGCAACACACATTCCCCGCCAGATCCAAGACTCCATTGTCGACGCAATTGCCCCTCTCACCCCCACAGAGTTTCGCCTATTCCGAGACTGGAAGTACTCCTCTCCAGCAGCCAAGCTCATCAACCATACCCTCATCCATCAACAAGCCACTGAACGAGCTAGAGCCTGCCAGGCAGAAGAAGACCAAGTCATTTTCAACGCCATCTCAGAATAATGCAGCCACCTCCCGCACCCGTTTTAATGCACCATTAGCATCGAACCATCAACTCAACCCAAGCCTACCCTCCCCTCAACAATACAAAACTGGACTCACCCCCTTACCCTCCCCTCTAAGACCACATTGTCTCACTCGCGAAAGACTTCAAAAGTGGACACCATCAGGTGGCAATGCATGTCTTGCCTCCATCAACTCACCAAACCTGACCATAACGGATGAACAAGTTGACTGAATCCTTGAAGTCATAGGACCTTCATGGGCGCAGTCCACCAAAGAGACTTATGGGGCAGGCCTATTAGTATTCCATGTATATTGTGATTCCCTGAAAATACCAGAAGATCAGTGATGTCCAGTTTCCCCAACTCTCCTTCTAGCTTTCCTGTCCAGCTGTACAGGATCATACTCTGGTACAGCGCTCGCAAACTACACAGCTGGCGTAAAAGCATGGCACCTGTTACACGGCTACCCATGGTTAGTAAACGCTAAAGAACTTAAAAACGCTAAAGAACTTAAAGCCATGCTAGACGGAGCTGCAGCGCTCGCTCCAGAATCTTTCAAATGCTTGAAACGCAACCCCTTCACCGTCAATATTCTTTCCACCATTCATGCACACCTTAACCTTAACGACCACCGCGACGCCGCCATATTTGCATGCTTGACCACAACATTTTACGCCATAGCGAGATTAGGAGAGTTCACTGTCCCTACAATCAAATCCTTTAGCCCAGCCAAACACATCACTCACAGCGACGTATCCATTACCGTCGATCGTAACGGTTTACCCGTCACAAAATTCCGCATCCCGAGCACGAAAGCATCCCTGCTAGAAGGAGAAGACGCCTTTTGGGCAGCACAGGAAGGCCCCTCAGACCCAAAAGCCGCCCTAGAAAACCATCTCCGAGTCAATCCAGCAGAAAATAATGCTCACCTGTTCACCTGGAAACATCCCAAAGGTATCAGACCTCTCTCCAAGAAAGAACTAATGAAGAGACTCACATCTATCACCCAATCAAACAACATCCCCAACCTCAAAGGTCATGGTCTTTGAATTGGAGGAACACTTGAATATTTGCTAAGAGGAATCCCTTTCGATGTCGTTAAATCAATGGGAAGATGGTCGAGTGACGCATTCACAATATACCTTCGAGATCACGCGGTCATCATCGCTCCATATATCCAAGCACTATCACCTGCGCTAGAACTGTTTCCCCGCCAAGCCATGCCACCAGTGCGCTAAAGCTTTTTCCTAGGTGAGTACAGCTCCTATTTATACAGGCCATCAAGCTTCGCAGTTCGCGTCGCAACTCTCCTACAGTTATGGGATTACAGCTCACCTTGAAACCTTTAGGTTCGGACCCATACACCGGGCCGAAAAGCCCTGCGGGCTTTTACCCAAACTCTTTCTCTACTCAACCTTATATTTAGCCACCGCACACCGAAAGCGTAGATGTTATTCTGAGCAAGCCGAGGCACGAGGATAGCGCAGAATTTAGTCTACGCGTGAGAATAGTAAGGTGGCGCAACGCACCTTGTTCCGACCCACGTCGGAAGACAAGTGTACTGCATCAGTAGTCGTTTTCTCATTGTTTTCTCCATCTATTCCTATCGTTCTTTGCACCCACCCGCCTCTCCCTCTCTCAGGTTACAGACAAAGTTTAGTTCAGATAGTTCATATCTACAACCTTTGTCCGATGTACTGTGTTCCACTCCCTAAGGATTTCAAGCATCACGCAGGGCGACCTGATCAGTCCCCGCCCGCCCATCACAGCTCACCTTGAAACCTTTAGGTTCGGACCCATACACCGGGCCGAAAAGCCCTGCGGGCTTTTACCCAAACTCTTTCTCTATTCAACCTTATATTTAGCCACCACACACCGAAAGCGTAGAATGTCCAAAGTTGTGTTTTCGAGGTGCTTTCAACGCCGTTTCAAACCTGATTTCCATTTTCGGCAGCGACAGCGGGCATCGGACTCCAAAATTCGGTACGATGTCGGAAAATTCTATTTTTGGTTGGCATGTACTAATGCAGTCCACCTATGTCACTCCTTCGAATTGCCTTCGAACCCATGCATATAGTTTACTGCAAGATCACCCCTTCATCCCATCAACTCCCAAGACCTGCTTATGCACCCGAAGTTTTCTATTCTCGTGTCTCAAAATACTAACACTAGGACTGCGATGAGGCATTCCAAGGCGCGTTTCATCAAACACCTGTGACTTTTTTTTCCACAGCGCTCCGTTCATCTCATCTTCGACTTTACGGACTCCTGGCCTAACTGCTTTTGAATTTCCCATTCACTCCTGAGATCTGCAGCGTCTATATGTATGTCGGGGCCTTTGCGGAAGGTGGGGGAAGGAAGAGTGATCCAGATTTGGGTTCCTGATTAATTACATAAGTCTATTAATTGAATTCTCATCAAGTTTGCATCGTACTGTCAATCCAATATTCATCGATATCCGTCTGCTGTACTAACATTAATCTGCCCTGATTCTTGGTGTATCATTTGGTGTCCTTTTCCAAGTGAGCGAGCACGCCCGTAAATATTATTTAATGGGGATGTATTGGGTAGATGTTTGGTAGCCTTACTGGAAAACGAAGGACAAGGAGTACATTCCCACTAAACGAGACTCTGGCTGCCATCTTCCATGACGTTCGCCTTCTGTCCTGATAGCTATTGCGCGCTGTATCCCCAGTGAATGCGAGTAGTGGAATGTTTCAAACACCTTCCATCTCAGAGACGTTCTCTGCTTCATCACCATTCTCATACAGCAGATCGCGTTGCACACTACGAGTCAGACATTAACAACGCCCCCTCAAACCTGTCACGAACAACACGCGTTCTATCTCAGCGGAATCGGCTCCTTAATCACACCCGTCTCACTCATCTTCTTAATATTCTCTCTGCTGCACGACATATTCGTCCTCCCGGCCATCAAGATCATATGGCCTTCTTCCTCATGCCCTCCCACTGTCATTTGTGACTTCCCACATATTGCCACTGCGATCTTACCCAGAAGACCGGTACAATCGCTTATGCTCATATGCAGGGCATACCTAAGTTAGCAATCCGGAAGAGACTAGATCTATCCCGAACGAGCATTCCCTTCCGCTATCTGGATACATCTTCTGTGTTTGTTTCTCCACGGGGCGGCAAATTTCATCCTGAAATCTTAAAACACTGTCCAGTTATTGAAGGTCAAGCTTCCGTTAGGGCATACTTTGCATTTCAGAGGTGTCGTGAATTTTCTTTCTTTCCATAGGCAGTATCGACGTCTCGTCTCTTGTAACTGATGATCGTATTATCTGTCACCGGCCTCACTAACATGTTCACACCCTTTCGGTTGACTTCTTCCCTATGCGCTTACAAGTGGACCAGGCTCAGTAAGAGCTCAGAAGAATTCTTACATTGGCGATCGCCCTGAACGCGTCCTTTATTACGACGCGTCTTCTTTCCCTCACAAACAGAGGGGAAACCTCATGAGGACGATACCATGTCATGGCCATCGTCTGTTCGAGGCATCGTGGAGGTGGCAAAGTGCATTTTTTAAACTTTCGAGACGCGCTGTTAATGATTGGATGCATAGCCTGCGTGGCGCCAGTTCATGGAGCACTGCATCAACTTGTCGCAGTCCCGCTCACAAAAAAATTTAGAGGACGAAAGGTGGTACATAGAGAAGTGACAAGACTTAGAGCATACATTGGTGGTATTGGATGGAGAAGTGGTGCAGATAGCTCTCCAGAAAGGAAACTGTAGTCCAATACACATGCATGTAGTATCACAGATACGAAGTACCAAAGAAACCCGCTCAGATCCCTGATCTACATACGGCTACAGTATTTCTATCGTCCTGATGTCCATCAGGTCTCGAACAGAAGTCACGTCTTCGACGACCTGTGCAATGATATCATGATCCGACGCGACCCTTTTGTATTCCCCGCCACGCTGCCGCGCTAGCAAAAATGCGCCAAAAGGCTGCCCAAGGCGAACAAGCAACCGCAATGCTCGCGATTCTAAATCAACCACCTCCTGTTTTACATGAGGAGGGCTAGGCGAGTCGTCTGACGGAGAAGAAGGCGGCGTCCAATAATCCCCCTCGCTCTCTGTATCGTCCCCGCCGCCGGGCAAATCTGGAAAGTCAGGTAGCTCGAGGAGAGACCGATCCCAGGGACGGACAAGCACTAAGTTTTGCTGAGTGAGCCTTGTCCGTAAGAACTGAGTAATCGGCTCTTTGGTTGTGATTGAGAGATCATGAAGCCCGTCTGCCTTGACTACATATCGAGTCTCAGATGGATCGTAGTTTGGATTGACGTCTGTGACACGGAATGCCATGCAAGTTAGACGCAGTCTGCGGGTGGCGAAACGAGCAGCGCTCGTGTTATCAAGCCGGTCGTAAAGCTTCAAAGCCAAATCCACAGCTACAGGATTGTTTCGCAGCGAAGAGATAGTTGTCTGAATCTGATCTTCAGACAAGGATGGAAGAATGCGTGTAGGAGTGGTGTAAGAGGTAATATCGGCTGGGAGACAACTATTGAACTCGGAAGGCTCTCCGATCCAGTCCAGGATAGTGATGTTGCCCGACTGAGCCACGATCTCCTGCAGGAGCCGCCCGAGCGCGTTCTGCTTCTTCTCGCCGTAGATTACAGGTAGGTGGACACCGAAGATACCAAACAATGAGTACGCGATGTCTTCCTGCAATGTAGTGACGCGTGATGATGCCCATCGAAGTCTTTGTCGTGCGTCGCTCATCCCTGGACGAAAGGATATCAGGGCCCGCGCATCTATGCCCGTCGCATCCTCCAACTCCTTCATGATTGCAGGGGACTCTTTGTGGTTGGGAGAGCGATCGCCGAGATATAACGACCAATCGTTCTGATAAAAGATGACAACTTTCGGAGCAACGAATTCTTGAAAGGTCCATCCTCGCTCGTTCCAAACACTCCTCGCCAGTGCACCGGGCTCGGATGAAGGAGGGACATCACATAGGTAGACGATGGTAAGCGCTGAGTGATGGTACCAGACGAACATGGAGTTGACCGATTCTTGAAGCTCGGTATTGCTCTTCTGGTCGATGCAGCATGTGTCCATCCATGCCCAGTGATACCCAGCATCACGAGCGATTTTGCAGAATGACTGCAGCTTCGCGATGCCACCAACTCCATTCAACTCGTACACGACCTTGCCCTGGATGTCGTGCAACAGCGCCTCCGCCTCTTCCCACCTGTGTGATAGC